GTGATAATGATTAAGGCATTTTAGAAGATCAGATGAATTTTATTTTTAAAGACTCATTAGTGGGTTTTCATCCTTTTTCATCCCCTTGGTGCAAGGCAGGGCCAAGCTAGGGAGTGAAGCACAGGGGGAGACACCAATGCATAGCTGGAGGTGAGAAGTCAGAGAACCCTTGTAATCATGCAGGGCAGGAATATCAGCAAAGCTCTGGATGCTTGTGCCACCCTCCAGGTGGACAGAGCCACACATGGGCACATAGCTGAGTCAATTGCCATAACTGCCACCCCCAAAGGTTCACATATCATGATTCAGGTCCCCCAAAATCATGAGATTGGCTAGAAAATCATGGGATATTTTTAATACCATATTTGAGGCTTTGTTTATTTGTGTTTGGTTTCGGAGCCTTTAATGGTGATGTTTTCAAGCTTTTCTCTGCAACATGGAGGCTAGAAACTCTTTAAAAAGCAAGCTGAGATTCTCCCCTCATTACAGCATTTCAGGAGGTGTGGCTTTAAGAAAGAGACCAAATATTGGGAAATGTGCAATATAATTGCAAGAGTTGTCAGTACTGCACTTTCTCATCTCTAGAGATGCTATCACAGTCCTGGCCAGGGTACTGATTGGTGTCTTGGTGAAGGATCTTATTCCCATTGTAGGAGAGCAGCTACTGATCCTCCCCCTGCGCCGAGCAGTATTAATCCTAGCTGGCCTGCTATGCTCTTGCTGCACAGAGCCTGATCTGAGCTTGAGGTTCTGTTGCAATGTTATAGTTTGCTCTGAAATGGAGCCCTGGGTTTGGCAGCGCTTCCCCAATGGCTGTGAGCTGTCTGGTGTGCCTGGAGCTCTGTGCCCTGTGCTCACCTGTCCAAGGTGAAAGCCTAAGACTCCTCTCCCTCAGGTGTTTGTCTCTGTAATCCCCTGAAGTTTCCTTGCCAAAGGAAGCAGAGTTCCATGTGCTGGGTGAGACCTACACCCCCAGATGTGAGCCCGGCACTGCAGCTCTTCAGCTGCTGGGGGCGGTAGAGTCAGCCTCTTGGGCTCTCTAGGAATTAAGTTCATGTCAAGGCCAAGGAATTGGTAGAGAGGATCAGGCAGTGTGAAGGAACCCCCTGGAGTTCCCTGCACTCCATGATTGATGGGGCTGGTTCAGGCACTCAGAACCTGCAGCCCTGCACCGCTCTGTGTGGGGTGGCAAGTGGGCCTGGTTAGGGG